TTCTCAGCACGCCAGTGTATCATTTGCGTGCAACAGACTCATTCTACGACATGGCTCTAGAGTTACGTCGTTTCGTCCAGGGAACGACGAATTGAACATATTTATGCTAAAAAGAACTATGTGCATATGGTTTGGCTATGAGACATAGATCCTTTTGGCATCAATTCGTTCAATTGAGCAATGAAAATCGTCCGAGGCCGATCGTCGACTCGAAGGAGACGATACGCGAGGCGGTTCTTAATGTTTGAACGGCGGGGATGAAGGGATGGCGGTGTTTACGGTGACAGGGGCGGGGNNNNGGGGGCGAAGGAAGGGAGGAGGGGGCGAGATCGTGGTTGGATTGCGTGCTCGATTGATTATTGAGACGCGGGAAATATTATTATGAGCCGCTGAGAGATACTTGGCGGGTCGTCCACCGCGCAGTCGGCTCCTGCCCACAATCGCCGTTTAAACCCGATGGATCTCTCGCGGGTCGCCGCTTCCACGACCGTTTTGTCACGCTTGCGGGGAACGTTCCGACGGATTTAACAAGAATCCACCTAACTGCGTTTCACGTTGCCTCGTTTTCCCTCTTCCTCTATGTTTTTTTACAGGCGATGGCCATTAGACAAGGTGCGAAGTTAAGCATCATCATATGGATTGCATTTCGCAAAAATGAACCAAGAACATTGCAATGGTGCTGAGATTGTGCAACCTCTTTTGTCTTGGAAGAAAAACCCTGATCATTTATAAACATTTTCCGTTCTAAAATTTGTAATTTAAGGCAAAAATTGCCATGTAAATTTCATATTTGTGAGTGATTACAGTAGTTTCATTGCTAAGGGTGAAGTTTCACAATTTTAGCAACATAGCATTGCTCCTGGCTCCTTTTTTGCAAAATGCAATTCTCATCAAAATTTCACGGCGAGCAGAATCACCCAGCAGTCTGATTCTGCCCGATCAGGAAGTACCAAGGAAATCGCGAAATGACAGGGAATTTTAAAAAGTCATGGAAAACCTGGAAAGGTCAGGGAAAATGACGAAAGTGTCAGGGAAAAACAGCTGAGCCACCGTTATTTGCTCTCTAGAATGGGTTTAACGTTTCGAACAACACATTTTGCGTGAAAACTATTTAAAATTATGTCCTTTTAATCATCTGGCGTATCTTTAAATATCAAGGAATTTCACCGAAATATGTCAGGAAAATCAGGGAAATGTTCGGGAAATGTCAGGGAAATTCAGATTCTATATTCTGTGGCAATACTTAGAGCAGAATCACTTCCAAGTCGGCATTATTTTCTTCGATCACTATCAGTACCGCCATGAATAGAACAACATTGATCGCGGCGCTTTGATACAACTAAACGTACCTAACAACTATCCGTGTTGCATATAGCGAGTATTGAAGGCGTTTTTGAAACGCCCTACCAATGAATCCTCAGACAAGAAGTTAATTTAATCATTATTGTACATGTTTTTCCAGAGAAAACTCACGTAGAGCACGATTTGTACAACGAAAATTACTGGAAGTAACTCCTAACAATTACATCGACGTTATTTGGTGCATCAATGTAGACTTGTTGCTCATGAAAAAAGCATCATCTGTTTGAATTAAACCGCTCACTAAGCAGCTGACAGATTTTGCTGTAAAACTGTATTACAACCCTGCGTTTAGCGTTTTGACACAGCGATTGCAAGTTGTTCACACATTGAACAAAGCCGGATGGGAATGAGGGACATAGATCACCGAGAATCCTGCCAAAACCAACTCAAAAAGTCGTGAGCAAGAATGTTTGCTTACTAAACGATTCAAAAACGAAGCGTGAGAAAGTAAAAATAATCACTGTCTGATGGAGTTAAGTTGTCTCAGATGGATTTGAATAGAATCGGCCTACCTGAATTATACGTTGCCTAGTTTTCCCTCGCGCTTTTTTCTCTCTTCTTTTTTCTTTTTTTTGTAACGATATGATACAATATGAAACATGGGCATATTCTGTAGGCAAATTTCCTTTCGATCATGATGAAGAAGATAACGTATTAAATTTCACCCAGAACTCCTGCTTAAGAAGTCCGTGAGTGTATTATTTTCAGAAAAATTGTTTTTCAGCTTTACGTACCTCAGCGCTGGACTTCTTTCCTCCTCTTTGCAACGCACCTATAAAGCAGGCTCAGATACCCCCCCCCTCTTGCCCCCTTTAAGTTCCACGAATTTAATGAACGACCTGTTATATCCTTCGAAAAGAAGTAAATTAAAGAAAATGAGAAAGAGCAACAAGCTCCTCTTGATTGGTTCGATTTGATCGTGCAACTTGACAACGCGTCCCGAAGGGTGATTTGTGCTTGAAGCGTCTACCCCCTCTGCCCCCTTCGTCCTGATTGGTCCCCCCTGCGAATGATTAAGGCGGAAGGGGCGCTTAATTTTGCCACCATTACAGTTTCTTCACTTTCATTATCGTTGCACAACACCCGGCCGATGACTCCTACGATCGGCATAGCCCGCTGCGACCCCGCCGACCGTCTCCTCCACCCCCCTCCCCCAGTTATCAACCCTCATCAGTGGACCACCCGACGAAGTAGACATTTCGTAATTGTGAGAAATGTTTTTCAATCAAAATGTCTTAGAAAAGGACGGTGAGAGCATTGATTATATCCAAACTTCGATTTCCAAAACCTAGATCATTAAAAATCAGTGGACCACTCGACGAAGTAGACATTTTGTAATTATGAGAAATGTTTTTCAATTAAAATGTCTTAGAAAAGAACGGTGATAGCATTGATTATATCCGAACTTTGATTTCCAAAACGTAATTTGCTCATTTAAAATACATGTCTGTCGCAAGCAAATAGTAAATTCAGGCGTTTTGTCAAATGCCCAGGCAAATAGTCAAGCATTCACATTTGGATTGAAATTCTGATTCGTTTCCTAATTTTTGTCAGAGCAAGTCATTACTCATGGAGAGAAGAATTCTCTGTATAAATGCGTTTCAAACAATAGTATGTAAAACGATTTTTAGCTCATGGACGTACATTTATCTTGACATTTTCCGTAGAATACTCACAGAATTCCTACGATTTCTACTTTGAACAAGGAGAGTTCAAACATTTGATGAGTCATTTTTCCTAATTATTGAAAACTCCCAAGCTTTTCGTCATACATTTAAAAAATTGCGTGAACTGCCCAAATTTGACAAGCTGCCTAGGCATTTGATAAAAGGCCTGATTTTACTAATTGCCTGCAACATGCCCGAATACATTTACCCTTTTAAATATCATACGTGAAAATTTGGTGTTTACACGAATCCAGATCGATCTGTAATCTGAAATCTTCAAACAATGATTTTGTGACTATCGCAACTGCTTTATCGTGTAAGTAACAAACGTTAAATAAAGACTTCCTCGTGGGACTTACCACTAAGTATTTATTCTAGCTGACGATTTTTTTCAGGCTAGGTTTATTTTAAGTCCGCCTGTCATAAATTCTTCCGAAAATCGTAATTAACATCAGTGCAGCCGAAACCATGAAAGCTGCCTACAATTTATGATAGAATATTCTCGGCCGAAGTTTTCCACCCCCATACTGCCATGCTTTGGAAAACCACCGCATGAACATTCGAATTTTGCCAAATTTCCCCGGCTAGAAAATATATTTTGGAAGAACGTTATGTATATCTTGCCTCACAATTTTCAGATATTTTTGATCAAATTACGAACAAAATTTTCTGAGGAATCGGAAGAAAACTATTTACAACTTCTCCAATAAATTCGTTTTTCATCAAAGGAAATTTGGCAACAGCTGATGGTTCTTACGGTGTTTCCCTCAAGTTGGCAGTCGAGCGATGCCCTTTCTGCCGTGCTAAGGAAGAACACCGTATGAACATTCGAATTTTGCCAAATTTCCTGTCAGAAAATATTTAATTTTTGAGAAAATTATGAATATTTTCCCTTGCAATTTTTAGGTTTTTCAGATCAAATTACGAACAAAATCTTCTGCAAAATTCGAAGAAAAATATTCACCAATTTCCTCTAAAATTAACGATTTGTCGAAGGATATTTGGCAACGCCTGAGGGCTCATACGGCGTTTTTCCTCAGAACGGCAGCGTTTGTATGTGGGTCGGGCGGTGCGGTGGCCCTAGGGTGGCGTGCGGCGGGGATGTTTCGCGAGGGCGCCCCTCGCAATCGGGCGCCGGGATCTTAATCAAAACGGAATCAAATTACAAACAAAACGGTCATAGTTGACCGGCCCCCGACCCTCGCCCCGCCCCCCGGCCGCAACCCGAAATACGTGTAAACGACTCGTTCCTACACGGGGGATCGCTATCCCCCCCTCCCCCGCCCTGCGCGGGGCTAATTTATACTAATTTCACACGTGATGTCTAATTTATCATGGGATTCCGTGCCGCCCGCCCCTGATATTAATACACCCGAAAAATGAGTGATAAAACCTCCCCCGCCCCCCGTCCAACGGGATTCGGGATTGCCGGTTGGGTCTCTTGTCCAATTGGACTACAATCTGCAATTCAGAACTACAACCTCTGACTCAGTTTAGAAACAACGTATGCACCATTGATTTTGCTATACACATAAGTGTTTTTGTGGATGAGCCAGAAATTCTAGTTCCTAATTGCAAAATGAAGTTCAATTATGCTGCCGTGCTAAAGAAAAACGTCATATGAACTTTCAGACGTTGCCAAATTTCCTTTGATTAAACACGAATTTTCGAGAAAACTTATGATTATTTTTCCTCCACTTTTTCAGATTATTTTGTTCGTAATTTCACCTAAAGTTCCTGTAGATTTTGACAGAAATTGTTAAAAAGTGGGGTTTTGCGGGTTGAACTCCTGCAAATTTCCGATCCCGGACCCCTCTCTGCACCTGGGGGGTATTCCATACTCCTCAGACCCCACGGTGGGCGGTTTGTCCCTTCCCAGAACCTTATCCTGCATATGCGCTGTTCTGGATGAAGGCTCGTCGTAATTAGTCTTGGCTCTTTTTAACCATGTTTCCGTTTGCTTTGTTTCAGTTCCTGTTTACGAAGTCGAAGGAGTGGTGGGCGAAGCGGTGGAGATGCCATGTGACATTTCCGTGCGTGATGCGAGGGACGCCCTGCACATGGTTCTCTGGTTCAGGGAATCGGACGGCGAGACCCTATACAAGTAAGTAACAAGCTCGAAAATGATTTTATCAACTAAGGGGATTGGAGGAGAAGGCGCTTAAGTGCAATTTTTGAAAAACATTGAGGTATTAATGATTTTAAGTATGACTAGTGTGAATGCATATTCAGTGAAAAACTTCCTCGAAAATTCTAATTTTTAAGCATAAAAAAGTCAGTTTGAACTCTCTTTCTACCATAAGGATCCATGTAATTTTGCAACTTCAAACACGTATTTCTCGAAAAAGCAAAAACTGCACTCATGCGCCTTATCCTCCAAGCCTCCCAACAGTGCTAGACACAAGGAGGGACAGGGACAATATATCTCAGAGAACCCGCACGCCTAAATGGACCACATTTTTAAATTGAGGGCTAATATTTCCTGATCTTTATAGAAGTAATCGTGCCGTTAGTTTTCTTGCGTAGATACACCGGAAAAAAAGGCGCTGGAGTAAGTAATAACATCTCAGAGGTTAAAAAGTGTGCAACAACTCTTGGATGTTGTCATTAACACTCTGATATTAAAGTAGCACCCTAAGGATGTTATTATTATTATTCATATTAAATTCAAGTTTCTCTTCCCTTCAAAAGTTTTATCGGGAAACGCAAAAATACAGACAACCTTTTTTTTTTTTTTTTTTTTTTTTTTTTTTTAAAAAAAAAAATCAATTCAAATTTATCAATTGTTTTGGTGCCATTGCACTACAAACTTATGATGTAACTTATTATGATGATGATAACTGATGATGTGACTTATGATGTGTTATTCCTTCCATAACTCAATTATTTCCTAGTAATATTAATTAATCTAAAAAGGTTCGTGCTTTGATCAATCTCCAACGTTCGGCCGTTGGAGCCAACCCCTTGTTTTCCTTTACCCCAAGAACAGCGCATCGCATGAATGAAAGACGATGCTAAACAGCATATTTTCCCTCGCATTTGATCCTATTCATCAAATTTCGCAGGCTGTTTTGCAAACGCACCCAGGTGCCAACTCACGCATCGGCGCAGCCTCAACCGCTGAGCGCGTCTACGTGTCTCGCGGAAATGCGGCAACGCGGGAGGGTATGACGCCCGTAATATCGGCGCCGCGACGTCAATATGCAGCGCGCCGCGCGGCGTCTCCAAGGGAGGAATGCAAATCAGCGCGGAATGTCTCGGAGCATCAAACGGGCCCGATTTTAAATCAAAACGCATTTAAACTCCGGTTTAAAGTGAGGCAGGCGAGGGTTCGCAGTCTCGAGCTCGACGTTGAGATCTCCTCGCAGACGCACTGCATATGTGACGTCTTGGGCTACGTTGCCACGCTGAATGGAAAAAAACCTACGGGTTTTCTTTCCGTCGCACAGTGCGGCCTTCTATGGACACAAATAAAAAATCACAACTCGACATCTGAATATTTTTTTTGGAGTTTGTCATCCTATAGATATTTGAATCAGTGAGAACAAAAACACACCAACTCGGAAAAATGAAAATAATCAAGACGCATACAAATCTGCACAGTAAAGGAAGAAGTTAGTCTAAGAAATCGATTTTTGCTGCCGAAAGACAATTATTATGGACACTTTAAAGAGTCCAAGTTGAAACAGGTGCCTTAACTTCACTAATCTATAAGTAAATTAACTGTCTTTATTGGAAAGTGAGTGGTTTCGAGTTACTGAATTGGTGTGTTTTCGTTATCACTGATTCATTTTTGACTCACGATGATGGTTCATTTTCAAATTTTGCGCTCAAAACTATTTTGAATTTGGGTAGGAGGTGGGCGAGAAATGGGTCAAAAATCAGTGATCCATAGAAAATACACGGGAAAGAGATGTCAACTTCAAATGAAAGTTTCTCGTTTGATATGCAAAATGGTTGACATTTTTCTAATCCTCAGATATCCAACTTCAATTCTATCAAAAAGATCTTGCGATTTTTTGCGACTATCAGAGATATTTGAAGTTAAAGTTTGGGCGTTTTACGTTGCTTTCACATTGTTAAAACAGGGGGTGCCAACTTCAAATGAACTTTCCTTGAAAAATACGCAAAAAATCTTGAAATATAACATCTCCTTGTTCCTCGAGTGTTTTACTTTGATAGCGCCAAAGGGTTTTCCTATGTTAGTGCTACTATCTTCATTATTTCAAGTTGAGTGTCTTACCGATTTTGTCCGCATCGTCCATAAGGATGCGACACTGTGCGTCGCTAGATTGGCGTAGCGTACTTTGCGATGTATCGATTGATCTGCCACTTAAACTTACGCAAATGATCGATAAACCTGGTGTTCGCAACGAGCACCTTAATAATCGATTCTCTACCACAGCTTCAAATCGGGAGATATCGATAATCGATCATTCACACCTCGCCTCTGAGTCGCTCCTCTGGCGTAAGAACGTGACTCGGTCTCCTCATGAGCCCCAGATATCATGGATTTTCGTGTAAAACAGGGCTCACGCAGAAACTAAGGGGCTACTCCAGTCTAACAATGGCCCAAATTTTCCCCTCATTCGTAGATTTGTCTATAAATTTCAATAATCAGCCCAGAGGAGGCGTGCATTATTATTCTGACCATTGTGTTTTGCGATATATCGATTGATCTACCATTTAAACATATAGAAAGGGGTCGATAAAGTGAATGTCGCAGTGTACACCTTAATAATCTATTCTTCACCACAGCTTCACATGAGGAAAAATCAATAATCGATCATTTGCGCCTCGCCACTGATTTTGACTAGCCGATGGAGAAACGCCTTCATTTCCGACTGATACCGTGCAACACTCGCAAGTTCGAATAGTTGTATCCAGAAATGTATCAGTTCAACTCTCAGAAATTCTCATGGAACTCTCAGCCGTTACACTAATAAAACTGGTAATGTTCTGTGCCCACATTGTAGATTATGTCAGGTCAATGGACTGAGCCCAATAAGACATCAATTTAATGGGAATTAAAGTAATTCAGAGTCATTTTACCGTCAATTAGAGTTTTTTAGAGTCAGCTAGAGGAATGAATTTACATTTCATTCAAATTTAACTCATTCTGAAAGGCCGAATCACCGTCAACAAGGATGCTGAAACTTGGTTTTTGCACTATGCTTATCGTCTTTATTATGATCAATAAGCTTAAATCGTCAAAACACGAGTCTCCGACTAGCTCAACTGACTTACTAACTTGTTTTAGCTTAGCTTTTTAGATCGGACCTTTGAAATAACGCAGTCAAAACAAGTCGCAGCTGTCTTTAATGCGTTGATATTTAACCTTTTTACAGTGCTCGGTGTATTTTACATTATATAATAATGGTGGATATGTTTTGTGGTGCTTTAATTCCCATCCCTATGTCAAGTGGCTCATTGTTTGAGTGTTCAACCGCAAAAATATATCACAACTCAATCGACTTTTAATGGCGGCCAGCTCCATCACCCCAGTTATCACGATCTAATCTTAAATCACTTTTTCAAACTATTGTTATTTATGATATCGTTTTTATGCCACATAAAAATGTAATGTACGGGTATTTTTTCGGCGAACCCTGCATAAGAGAAAAATTTTCTGGAATAAACTTGTATCTCAATCCACTTGCTAAACTGACCTAATTTTTATTATATTGGCACCGGTTGTAGGATTTGAGATGAACTCGCTCAACATTGTCAAGCTGGCTTGATTTGTCTTTTGAACTAGGTACTGTCAGAATAAAACTAGGCAATTTTACTAGATTTTTTCCGCATTTTTAAATCAATTCATTCAATTTTGACTACTCTGAGAAACATTCATCTAGATTTTACCAAAAGTAAAATAAAAATGTTTCCTCCAGGATTTTCATTTTTTTTTCTTTTTTAACGTTTCATTAACGTTAATGTTATGAACACAGTTTTTCATGACCAAAACTTAACGATAGCAAAACAATGTTTCTGTAACTAAAAAAAACTGGCTTTAAAAAAAAAACAAATTTTGTCGACAAGAAACGACGCTTTAAGTCAGAATAATATCTCAAGAAAATGTTTTTTCAGTGGTTCTTAGTTTTAGTTGGATTGCATTTTGCAAAAAGGAACCAAGAGCATTGCAACGTTGCTAGGATTGTGTAATTTACATTCTTTGCAAAAAATTACCAAAATTATGAAAGAAATTAAATTTTCGGAGGTAATTTTCGTCTCGAATTCATAGTTATTGGGATTAAAGATGTCACTTGTTTAGATGATCAGTTTATATTTGCAAGGTACAACAAGTTGCACAATCTTAGCGACATTTGAATGCTCTTGGTTCCTTTTTGCAAAATGCTAACCAGTTATGGCGTCCATGAAACGATGGAATGACATGGGTGGATTTTGAGCTGGAGGAATAATTCAATTCCGTTGGGTGGCGCAGATTTGGCGTCGAAGCCGGGAGGAGACGAGGTTGCAGTAAAATTTTGATTCATTAGAAGGCAGAACAAATACAGAGCGGGGACCGCCTGAGAAAAGCGCAAAATGGCAGTTTCATGGAGATTTATGCCCAAACAAAATGCAAACATCCTTCATGTGAATAATGTCATTTAAATGCATAGTAATAGCTCCCAAATAAAGCCGCCCCCCTCCCGCCCTCACTCCCGAACCCCTCTCGATTATTTATACTCACCCCCTCGCCCCCCTTCCAGCCCCGTCCCGACCTCTTGCCCCTATTACGTATGTGCATGCATGTCCCGATTGTATTTTTCTATTTTTTTCTTCTTTTTTTTTAATAACTGCTTCCTTCCCGGTCCCATTAATTCTCGACAACTCATTTTTATGTCGCAATCCGTATGCGATTTGGCGTTCGCGGGTGCTTATTTGGAGGCGTTTCTGTCAAACGGGACTATGTGCATTATGATGTGAGCCCTGCTCTGCATATATTTTTATGGGTCTCGGGGCTCATGTCTCAATGCACGTAATTCAGTTTGATAGAAATACGTCCATTTTGCCGGCGAAATGTGGTGGCTTCCTTGCTGGCTCTGCCTCCACTCGAGGCTTTTTCGGTGTAATTATGTCGCCTGAAAAATTGGGCCCGCACGC